CCTTAAGGCCGCTCGTCCCGAGCGGTTCCGGGATAATTTTTGAGCCCGTTCAGGTATGCGACCATCATCATCGATCGAGGATCCCGTTGGATCCTGTATACCGCATCGTTTATTCCAGTGACTGCACTGTATGGGCTAAAAGTTGGTTGACTTTCATTCTGTCTGAATTGAACAATAAAGCCACGCTTGGTCATCCTTAATGCCTGGCGGTCATAAGGTGCTTTCATTCTCTCGCTGTCTTTATTATCGCCGTTCCCTTCAATCTATATCTTCCTCCAGGTGTTGACCTTTGCCTGTATCTTGCTATAATCCAGCTTCTGGCTGTGTATTTTAATTTGACTCTCACCAGGCCCGTGGTAATTTTTGTTCCAAGTGTCGATCTTGGGTTTCACTACTTTAAGATAGGGGGGTTGCATGCAAGTCCCGCGAACCCTGTTCACTGGAACCTTCCTCTTCTCGTCTGTAGTCTTGGAAGCTTCAGTAAAGATTTTCGTGGGTCTAACTTCACACGGGACTCCATGGATGCAGGACCGCATGCTGTCTCTTTGGTAAGCATCAAAGGCACTCTCTCCTTCATAACCTTCACTGAATCCACTTTGACCTGTATCTTGCTATGGTCTCCTGTCTGGCTGTGTATCTTCATTTGACTTTCACCAGACCGGTAGTACCTGTTGTTCCAAGTGACGACCTTGGCTTTCACTGTTTTCAGATTGGGGGGTGGAGCGAGACCCACACGCACTTTGTTCATTGGAACTTTCTTCTCCTTCTCGCCTGTAGTACTGGAAGTTTCAACTAAGTTATTCGTGGGTTTTCGCAACTTGTCCAGGGGAACTATGGATACAGGTTGGCCTATCTCTTCGGTAAGCATCAAAGGTAATCTCTCTGTCATAATCTTTACTGAATCCATCTCATTCTGATAGAGAGCAAGATGTTCGCCTTCCACCACAGTTTTCCTCATGGCATCCCCCTCATTCTGAAAGTTAACAGGGTTTTCGCCTTCGACCTCAGTTGTCGTCGTTGAAGTCATTTCATTTCGAAGGTGTGTCCGCCTTCCACCTCAGTTGTCGTCGTTGAAGCCATCTCATTCTGCAAGTTAACAGGGTGCTCGCCTTCGACCTCAGTTGTCGTCGTTGAAGCCATTTCATTTTGAAGGTTAACAGTGTGTCCGCCTTCTATCTCAGTTGTCGTCGTTGAAACCATCTCATTCTGAAAGTTGGCAGTGTGTTCGCCTTCGACCTCAGTTGTCGTCGTTGAAGCCATTTCATTTCGAAGGTTAACAGTGTGTCCGCCTTCCACCTCAGTTGTCGTCGTTGAAGCCATCTCATTCTGCAAGTTAACAGGGTGCTCGCCTTCGACCTCGGTTATCGTCGTTGAAGCCATCTCATTCTGAAAGTTGGCAGTGTGTTCGCCTTCGACCTCAGTTGTCGTCGTTGAAGCCATTTCATTTCGAAGGTTAACAGCGTGTCCGCCTTCCACCTCAGTTGTCGTCGTTGAAGCCATCTCATTCTGCAAGTTAACAGGGTGCTCGCCTTCGACCTCGGTTATCGTCGTTGAAGCCATTTCATTCTGAAAGTTGGCAGGGTGTTCGCCTTCGACCTCAGTTGTTGTCGTTGAAGCCATCTCATTTTGAAGGTTAACAGTGTGTCCGCCTTCCATCTGAATTGTCCCCACTGAATTTACCTCATTCTGAAAGTCAGCAGGGTTCTCGACTTCCTCCGTTAATGCCGACATTATATCCATAATTTGCTGGAATCGGTTACACCGCTTTTCTACAATCATCGTTAAATTCCACTCTGAATCCACCACGTTCTTAGTGTGATCACAGTTCCAAAGTCAGAGCCAGAGTCAAATTAACCTTGTTATATAGCATCGGGACGGACCACACAGAAAACACGGTTACTCTATTGTTGTATGCGTATCTGTTGTGGTTATTGCCTAGCAGCAGCCTTTTTTTACATAGCCAAAACCTAGCAACGTATCTTTGATTGCAGCATATTTAGCGTTTGTAACCCACCAACGGGTCTACGTTCACAGTATTGTAGATACCGAAAACATCGGAAAGTAACACGAAAATAGAAACAGGTGCTGCGTCTTTGTAATAGACACGTTGTATGTTACGTGTTAAGTAAGAACTGCTCTTTTAGATTCAGTATTTAAGAACTTCACTGTTTCAAAGAGGGGCACTATGCTACATGTCGGAAGGTCGCGGGTTAGAGTACCGATGAAGTGTTTCTATTTTTAAAGCTTACCTAATACTTCCAACCGCACTATGGCCCTGGGTTCGATTCAAGGAAGTCAGAAATACAGAGATACAGAAACACATTTCACCTCTGGTTCAGCCTTTTTTTTTCCTGGAAATGTTATTGCGAGAGGAGCCTCCTCTGCTTCTGCATCTGACGGTACCTAGACTTTTATACTGATGGTTTCATATGAATCATGAGAAGATGCTGGGCACATCTCACCACACAGACCTCGTACATACACTCTCTCCAAATTTTCGTGGTTCTGCAAATCAAGAAATATCGCATTTATCGTGGCCGTGGATTCTCATTGCATACAAGAAGTTCTGTGAAGAAACACTCTCCTATTTTCCATCAACAAGACATGGACAGCATAGAAAATGACATAGTCAAAATTTCTTCTAATGTTGCCTGTCTTCGTTTCCTTGGGAATTTTTTTTTTTACCGAGAAGTCGCTTAGCAACGGGATACACAGGGAAACTGTGTTCCGCGGGACTCGGGACGGAGAACAGTATCGCCTCGGTCCCGACAGGGTCCGAAATCAAGAATGGCGAAGCAGCAATTTATCCCCCTTTCCAGACCGGCCGTGGATAGCTATCAGTCCAGGCGCGCAAACACTTGGGAGCTGGGGGACTTAATTACCGAGCCGTTGCATAACAATGACCATTTCCTGGCGCATGTCTTACTGTACTATTCCGGCTTTCTCAGGCGTCGTAAGTGTTGTGTGGTATTTTAACGGTCGTATTTCAGGCTCCACTATTTATACTTTCAGGCCTTAGAGGGTAAAAACAGGCAGCAAATCGATCTCACGAGAGACTGCTTATTCTTCAGAACAAGCGAAACAGGCAACGGCTCGGAAAAAGTTTTCCTCCGGCAAAGCATATGTAAGCAGTGATATAAGAATTGTTTCAGCTGTATCTTCTGTGGTGTACGTGTATTCGCTGTTGCGAGAACGTGTTTACAGAGCCGTTGCCTAACAAGTGCTTTCTCTTCTAAAACCACTACTACGGCTTTCATGTGTCAGGTTACACTGCATTCACAAGTTGCTGAAAGTGATGTTTAGTATGCAGTCCGGGTCACATGAAATACTCAATTTATAGTGAAAGGAACTATGTGATTAGTACTTTCCAGAAATTCTTGCATTTATCAAAATAAGAAAATTAGTCTAAAAATAGAATACACTTTCCCTTTCTATGATATCAAACTGATAATAGTTGTTTTGTGTAGGTGTCTTCTCTGCAGCTACAAAATAACTATGAACTACTGAGTCCATGGAACAGAGTCTGTCTTAGAAGCTAAAAGTAACTAATCTAGTCTATAATATATACCCTCCATGGCACTCAAAGTTTATTATAAAATGTTCGCAGGAGCCAGCCATGGGCCTGTAGCCTAAGAGAAGCAAATCCAGTCCACACCCTCCCGCCTTAACTCCTAAATGTGTTTCAACCTCTTGCTTACAAGTATTTATTTCAGATATATTAAGCCAGCTTCAGTGAAGGTCTCGGTGGGTGCGTGGTTATTGCTTCACCATAACAATGGATTCATTCGTTTGCGTTAGTATTACGATATATTTGGTCATTACGCAATCATCATCAGGTATATTTTATGTCATAGGTTTTATGCTGTATCATCTTGCTATTGAGAATAGCACCATTAACAGTTAATTAAATGTCATAAGTTACAGAAATTTTAACATTAAAATTAACGAAAGTAGTTTTATATTTTAAAGTTGGTAATGAACCCAAGCTTTCCTCCTTACAGGAATGAAAGTTATGACGCACTATGTTGCCAGAGGCCCATGTTCAATGGGCGTGGTGTTTATGCTTGGTGAATGAGGACTGTGGTTTAATCCTCTGACTTCCAACTTTCTATGGAAGCAACTGCTGCTGGGGACTAAATACAGCTGAACACAAACACCCTCAATGCTTCCCCATATTACTTCAAAATGACCACAGATATACACAAAGTGAAAGCCTGCCATGTTCTTCCATCTGTTTGCAGAAATAATGTACTAAATGATTAACATTAAGCAAGTCTCCTCAGTTCTGGCAATTTTAACATCACTACACAGTGCCACCATATTGAGTCTGTGGCATGAAAATTATTAATAATATCCTAACCTTTATGTGTAGGTCTACGAATGGTCTCATTCCTTCAGGTTTACTGTCTACATTTCCTTTGCATTTACCACACTCACACACATGCTACATGAGTTCACGATATCATGTATCTAGATTACATCAGTCTAGCCACAAAATGCTAAAATGCTATGATATCTGTCAGTCTAGGGTCAGTACAGCAGACTATGCCCTATTTCTAGTAGTATTTGCTACCACAGCAGTCTAGTCACTTGAACGGTCGTATGCCTGACCGCCGCCAAATTTAAGCCTCTTCTGTGTTGTCTGGTGTTGCGAACATTCTCATTATCGTGATTTTGTATGACTTCTGCTTGTTTCCTGCATAATTTTGTTATATAGTCATATATGTATGGGATTTTGAATGCCATGTGCAAATCGTGGACCAGTATGCACCTTGAAAAATTTCCAAGGGTGCGGAGAACCTTGTTTTTCAGGCGCTGCAATTTCACTATATGGGTATCTGCCACAAACTCCTAGGCGGGATTAGCATAAGTCATTACTAGGGGCCGGATCTTTATGCGCTAAAAACACTTAAAATATGTGCCAAAAAGCGGGAAAATATGCGCCAAAAATAAAACTTACGAAGCAGGTCACTTCATTCAGACTCACTTATTTACATGTATCATTCACTGCAGAAAGTAGCATCACAATATGCAACTGGAAGTCTTTCAGTGTTTTCTGGAGACAAACTGCATCTGCTGTCCGTCAAAATGAGTTTATAGGCTGAGAATGATCTTTCTACATCAACGAACGTGATTGGGCAGTATTTGTACACTGGTGCTGAAGGTTCAGAACATTCATCTGGCAAAGATACCCTAATTCCACTCAAGTACTGACTAATTGATTGAATCCTTTTTAGTCCTGGGTTCGATTTCAACGCCTTTTCTAGCTTGCATTTAATCTTCTCTTCGATTTCGCCTGGAGCGGAATTCAGTGAACAAGTTGCTTTCTGAATGAGTTCAAGTGAGTCATGAAGGAGTGCACCACACGATTCCAAGCACTCAATGGCTTTTGAAACTGTAGAAAAATGAGCATGGATAAAATTCACATCTTGATAAACAGTATCACTTTCAAACACCACTTTTGCTTCACGGACACATGCATACTCATCTTCATGTTCTGTAACCACTTCTTTTACTTGATTGAAATTCTCCTGATAAAATGAAACTGCGGATATCCATGTTCCCCACCTAGTCAGGACAGGTTCAGGTGGCAGAGGAACCTGAGGTAGGCAATCTTTGTAGAACTGGACACGAGCTGGTGCTTTCAGAAACAGTTTTTTCCCACTTGCAATTAAATCGTTAACAGCTGCAGACTGTGCGCATATTTTTCTGCAATACAGTGTAATCCGTGCGCTAAACAGGTTACGTGTATAAAATTTGGATAAAATACTTGTAAGGCTTTTGCTGCTTTCAACATATAGGAAGCTGTATCTGTGAGTAATACAAGCACCTTACAACAATTATTCTCAATTTCAGATGGCCATAGTAGTTACAGAGAATCATTTACAAATCTTGCTATTGTGCTATGGTTTGTTTTCACTAGTACTTTGCAAGCAAGAAGATGAGGGTTTCCGGGTTCATCTGGATGTAGCTCAACAACCACGAAATTTGCTATGCATTGGCCACATAAATCAATTGTCTCATCCTTAATTATCCTTAATTTCAAACATATATGCAGAAATATGCTTTTATGTTTAGAATATGCAATAACAACCAAAATCCTTCAAAATATGCATTTGCATATGCGCACATGCATTTTCAAAAAATCTGGGACCTAGTCATTACGGATCTAAGAAGAGCTTTGTGGAGGGTCACTTTAATGTTAGTGCTCAATCACTCACTTTTGAATAGGGAATATACTCTAATGAATGTTCTGAAGGCCTTGGCTTAGACCATTTCTATGTGCAATGTCCATGTAGCTCTCATATCAAAGATTATACCTAGATATTTTGCACTATTTGCAAATGGAATATTTTGTCCGTTTTGAGTGAGACAAGACTCAGGCGGTCCCACTTGCAGGAACTCACCTACCAGCTGCTGGTACTGTTTTTAGCATTTGACGCTTCTTGGTCCAATGTGCCCGGTATCCCGGTACTGGGATAGCAGCCATATTTGTGCACCACTGTTTTTGTCTCGTGTTCAATCACTTCAGTTTTCGAAGAACCACTATCGACAATGAATATAAATAGTAGTCCAATGTTGCAGACTCCTCTCTTCACCGTTCAGCTACAACCGATGTGAACAAACACCTAATTTTCAATAATCGTGACACACAAGCAGTAGACAAACACTTGAACTAATGAATCAACGACCAGTGTCACCGTGTACTTGAATCAGCTCACTCGTTATCTGTCTCACTCTTGGTCTCTCAACTCAATCTCAAAGCTGCCAGAGTTGCGTGTATTCCTACCAGAGCAGACAAAATACATTGTAAAACAAGGCACTGGCCAAACAATTAAAACCAGATACTACTACACCAATACCACAGACCTACAAGCACTTAACTGTATGTGTACAAGTCATGAATATACCACTATATGTCCGCTGGAAGATAACAACAAGATTGCAACACTGACTTCATAATATGAAACATTACATGAATAGTTTTTAACCATATTTTATTGTACAACTTTCATTTATAATAATTGTATTGTATTTTTATACCTTATATTATTATTGTAAGATACTCATCAAGTTTCCAGCACTATTGTCACACTGAAATGCAATTCAACAGTGTGTGAGTGCAGTAACCATGTATTTGCCTGATGATGACTTTAAAAGCCGAAATACGTAGCTAAGGTGATGCTGACCTAGACTGTTTCATTGTTGTGTTATGACAGATCCCCATACAGAATGAAACACAGAATGAATGCACTGAGTTTTGTAGCATGGGACTCAGTTAATTTCCTGTCAGTCAGAAAGGTTACAAATGCAATATCTTGTATCATTCTACACACATGTAGCACACAACACACAGCAAAACGGTCTTATTTACAACTTGCAACTTTGTGGCATACTAGAAGTCTCATATTGTTCCCTTAGGCTAAACCTACCTCTACTGCCCTATGATTTACTGCACACACAATTGCATGAGCTGAGGTGTCTTCGGATAATACTAAAGACCTAGTGGCATTATACATATCGGAGCTAAAAAACTGCTCCCCACTAGGTATGTGTTGATGCCTCTTCAGAGCACTCTGCTGAATGAATGACTGATTACACAAGTCACAACAAAATGGCCGCTCCCCAGTATGTATTCACTAATGTCTCTTCAGATCACTCTCTGACCGAATGACTGATTACACAAGTCGCAACAAAATGGCCACTCCCCACTATGTATTCGTCGCTTATGTCTCTTCAGAATACTATGCTGACTGAATGACTTATTACACAAATCACAAAAAAATGGCCGCTCTCCAGTATGTATGCGCTGATGTGTCTTCAGATTACTTTGCTGTCTAAACGACCTATTACATATGCCACAGCAAAATGGCCGCTCCCCGCTATGTATTCGCTGATGCTTCTTCAGATCACTTTGCTGACTGAATGACTTATTACACAAATCACAGCAAAATGGCCGCTCCCCAGTATGTATGCGCTGATGTGTCTTCAGATTACTCTGATCACTGAATGATTTATTACACACATCACAGCAAAATGGCCGCTCCCCACTATGAATGCGCTGATGCCTCTTCAGATGACTAAGACCACTGAATGACTTATTACACAAGTCACAGGAAAATGGCCGCTCCCCTGTATGTGTTCGTTGATGTGTCTTCAAGTTACTCTGATCACTGAAAGACTTAGTACACAGGCCACAGCTAAATGGCCGCTCCCCACTATGTATGCGCTGATGCCTCTTCAGATCACTCCGCTGACAGAATGATTTATTACATACATCACAGCAAAATGGGCGCTCCCCACTATGTATGAACTGATGCCTCTTCAGATGACTCTTACCACTGAAAGACTTATTACACATGTCACAACAAAATGGCTGCACTACAGTATGTATGCGCTGATGCTTCTTCAGAGTACTCTGTTCACTAAATGACTTAGTACACATATCACAGCTAAATGACCGCTCCACGCCATGTATGGGCTGATGTGTCCTCACATTAAAATTCTGTCTGCAAGATTTATTACTGACATCACAGGAATATGGCAACTCGTCACTGTGTACAGGTTGAAGTTCATTCGGTATAATCTGCAAAAGGAGCAGAATAACACGAAAAATCCTCATATGAAGAGAAATAATTTTGAAACACAAGTATGAGCAACAGAGGGGTTAGGAGAGAGATGGGTGAGAAAGAGTGGGGAGAAGATCAAGAGGGAAGGAGATCAAACACACACATGTATGTGGGTGTCCATCAGCATGTATGGCTTTTTGTGAGTGAATAAAAGTCAAGCTCCACTTCAGTTATGTAACAGATTACAAAATTAAAGAATATTATCCCTTTCTAACACTCTACAGGAGTCTGTTTAAATAGAGGATATGATCCTAAGATGAAATGATAATAAATGGTGAGTTAAGAAATGACAGTAAGACAGACAGTGTAGGGCCTAGTGAAACTCTTGAAGCAACAGTATATATATATATATATTGTAATGTGTTTGGTTACTGAAGACGCCGTAGAGATCGTTAATTGGTTTATTCAACAATCTACAAATAACGGCTACAATTAATTATAACACAGTTGCGGGGTTTCACACTTTATAACCCTATGCGCAAATCAGTTCACTCTGTCTTCAGTAGTCTACACGTTTACAGTAGGGGAGCTATGTATCACTGTATCACACACTCCCAATTACACAATTACACACACGTCCGGTTCTTCTTTCCGCGACGGCTGCTATACTCCAACTGTCGTCGACTGACTGGAGAACTGTTGATAACACACTCGCTCGACTACTACTTAACTTGGCGACTGCTCACATTACAACTCGGAAATGTCTTCGGCGATGGCCACATTATGACTGACTGGTAGCTGCTGTGCAGTTCCCTTATATATCCGCAGTGGTGCCTGTTGCGTGCCACGTCACAGTAGGAAGCGGTTCCGCGTCAC